AAAAAAAAAAAGCCAATTAGATCTTTAAACTAAATTTGTTGTAATTTTGTCTTTTGACAAAATAGATAATGCCTGAAAACATCACAAATTGGCAAGAGTCATAAACCTAGATTCAAGAAGCTGAGAACACCTAAAGATGGTAAACCCAAAGAATTTACACCAGACCAAAAAAAAAAAATCTTGAAATCCACCAGGGAAACTAACACCTTATACCTAAAGGGAAAAAACCATTTAGATTGTAGATCCCCATCTAAAAATGTTGCATCTGCTTTTCGAATTCCCACAATAGTCTCTGAGCACTGATTCCACCTTTCACCTGCCCCAGTTAACACTGGGTTTTATTTATCTTTTAAATATTGATTCCTCTGTGCAGTAGTAGAAAACTAGATACCATCATTGCTTTAAATTGCAATTCTTTTAGATTATTAGTGAGGCTGAGCATTTTTATATGCTTAGTGCTTGTTGATATTTCTTCTTTTATGAATTTCCAATTTATATCTTTTACCCATACCCTGTGCTCAGAAACCTTCTGGATCTCAGTGTCCCGCTTCATCTGTCTGTTCATTTGTATTCTTTATAATAAAACTGTAATAGTAACTATAGCAGTTTTTCGAGTTCTGTGAGCCATTCTAGCAAATCATCAAACCTGAGGAGGGTGTCATGGTAATCCCCAAATTTGTGCATAGCCTGGGCAACCCATTTGCAGCTGGAATCTGAAGTGGGAACCGTATGAGCCCATTAACTTGTGGTTCTGATGCTAACTCCAGATAGATAATGTCAGAATTGGAGAACTGATAGGTGTTGAAAAAGATACCATATATTTGGTGTCAAAGAGAATCCTGGAATGCACTGAGAAGATTCCCTAAGCTTTTATCAAGAAACTGATCCCCCCACAGCTCCATAAACATGTTTCTTCTTACAAGACCCCAGCAAGATCCAGTAGGGAAGTGCTACCAGCCTAGAGTCCTCACAATAAGTCTGTGAAGTAGTTAAAGGTGCTTTTCAGGGTCCTCCCCCCCAATTCTGTGCCCCTTAAGTCATCACGTCTCAGTCACTGTCCATGTTCCCACCACTCTGATGAAAAAGCTGAAATGTCACCATGTGTCTGTTTAAGGCTCTGCAATCATTATATTATGCTTGTCTTTGACGCTGAGGTTTTAAGGATAGAAGAATGGTGATGACACTTAGAGAATGGAAGAGTTTTTGTGGTGATTGTTTCGTTTCATTTTTAAGGCACAGAAAAGTGCTACTCAATAAGTACATATACTTTCTTTTGTTTTTTGTTTTGGTGGCTGTCTGGTATGGGGATCCGAACTCTTGACCTTGGTGTTACCAACACCATGCTCTAACCAACTGAGCTAACCACCCAGCCCATCAATAAGTACATGTATTTTTAATTTCAAAATTTCCTGCCTCTTTGTGAAATGATCTAGGGTAGTATCTAAAAGACACAGAATTAGTGAAATGGGAACAAAAGAGGGAAAATTGGGACAAGGAAAAGCAAAACAAATATCCACACCATACTAATTTAGATTTCTGCTCCCGATTGCACAACAGAGAACACAGTGGAAGAACTACACAATTTTTATCATATGAAGTGAAGAGACAGCAGCTTCTTGTTGGGGGTGGGGGGGAGATTACAAAATTGCTCGTAGAACCCAGCTCTGAGATGTTCACTTTTCATGGCGGTCTCTGCATAGAGGAAAATGTGTGCTATAGTGGACAGTGTCCTCATTCGTGTTTTCACCATAAATGCAAATGTAACCCCTGGTAAAAGTCAAAGGTATGAATCCATATGGATCTGTAATGTGGGTGACAAATATGGCTTTCAAGTGTTATAATTTTCATAGTACTTAAAATATACCTTACACTATGCCGCTCAAAGATAATAATTTTGACTGGGATTTTGACAGGAGTTGGCTGTTAAATGGCTCAAGAGGCTACTTTTTAGTTTGGAGCCTGAAATCAGTGTACTATTCTGATCATTAAGGACAGACTCTAGAAAGTGGACAAGAAGTCGGCAGTTCTGAAGTTCTGTTATGAAAATGACAGTCTTCTGTGGTTCAAATGTTTGGTTCTCTACAAAATTCTCATTGAAATGTTACCTCCAATGCAATAGTATTAAGAGGTGAGGTCTTTAGGAGGTGATTAGGTCATGAGGGCTCCTCCCTTGTAAATGGGACTATGGCCTTTATAAAAGAGGCTTCATGCAGTATTCGGCCCTTTTTGCCCTTCTGCCTTCTGCCATGTGAGGACACAGCCAGGAGGCAGCAACAGGCACCATCCTGGAAGCAGAGCACAGTCCTCACCAGACACCGAATGCCTTGACCTTGGAGTCCAGCCTCCAGAACTGTGAGAAAATAAATTTCTGTTTTTTTATAAATTACCCAGTCTCAGATTTTTTGTTATAGCAGCATAAGTGGACTAAGTAAGACACAGCCTATAACAAGAATTCTTGTATTCTATTCTGTATTCTTGTATTCTGCTCTGCCTCCAGGGGGAGAAGAAGCTATAGGGTAACTACACACAAAACAATTAGGGTTTCTCTAACAGCTGGGTTAGAGATCAGTGGAGACCTCCCAATGTGATCCAGAGGAACATGGTAAAGATGGAAGAGAAGGTTTTAGCCTGAAACGCTTTCACATACTAGCTGATTAGCTAGCACTAGCTAATTCACTCTGGCCGTGGCAATGCTGCTCCAGAGGACAAGTTATCTTGTAGATCACTAAAGGGAATGACTTCTGGCAAGGTATACGATAACATCTGCGTAAGTCCTGGAGAATGTCTGCCAGCAACAGTGTGGCCGCAGTGAGAATGCACCTCGTGGACCTTCAATTTATTGCACTGGCTTGTGCAAAGAGGACATGTTTCCCACATGCTGCTCGCAGCAAATGACTGAATGTGACAAGAGTACTATGTCAGGCTGCTTCCTGGGACACATGGAATCACCATTTTTTCTCACACAGACATTTCCCCTAATAAAATCTTTGCATGTTTAATCCCATCTTCACATCTGTTTCTCAGAGGACCTGAGCTAACACAAAAAGCAACTTCTGTTTTTATCTTAGTTGATGTTTAACCTTTCCAACAACAGTCCATGTTTCTCATAGGAAGGACCTGCCTAATATGTGAGCCTTTTTTTTTTTTTTAAGCAACACCAAATGGCAAAACACGGCTCTATTCTTTTAATTATTTAGCTGCTGAAGCTCTGCCCCAAAGCCCTACCTTCTGGCCCTTTCTCTGAAATGAGGCACAAAGTCTCTCTGTGTCTCCATTTTGGGACTAGATGAGTAGTTTTTCTCTAATAGCAATTTTTTTTTTTGTAACTATAAATATGTTGAGTTTTTCTCCAACAGACCAGGAAGGTCAAGAAATACGTTCTAGAGACCTCTTTGTGGTTGCTTGATGCAGAGCTCATGCAGACACCTGCAAACATAATGTAATGACCCTCTCAGGACTGATTAGCCACTCAAGACGCAGGGCAAGATAGGGTATTAAATCCTAATCCTCCCTGCTTCATTACAGCTTCCTCATGTTTTTAGTTGACAAACTAAGTCATGGACACAATCAAATTCCTTCACTCATTTCACTGCCCTATTAATTCCTGCTAGGAATTATATGAGGGTACTTCAAAAAGTTCATGGAAAAATAGCATTAAAAGATAAAGCGAATCTTTCCATGAACTTTTTGAAGACCCCCTCGTATTCACCTATATTTTTCTTTTTAAAATATACAAGTGGAACCTACAACTTCAGAAGCCAGATATTTTTTGGATTTTCACTTGCTTGGGCAAATTGACAGTTGGCTTATTTTCTTTTTTTTTTTTTTTTCGTATCCGGCAACGGATCGCAACCCTCAGTGTCGCGCCCGTACCGGACCGGGACCGGCAACGGGATCGCAACCCTCGGTGTTGCACCCGCACCTCACTCAGCCAGTGAGCGGGAACCGGTCTGTATGTGGGATCCGAACCCTTGGCGGGAGCGCCACCGCGCTCCCAAGCGGCGCACTGTAGCAGTGTGCCACCGGGCCTGCCCAACAGTTGGCTTATTTTCAAATGATTTTTTTTTGTGGTCCCATGGGGTTTGGAGTGCTTCTTCCTGGAGGCCCATTTCAACATACCTCCGGTCTGTGGGGTACAGTTCCACAGTGACCACATCAAGAGAGTTCCAGGCCGAGATGGTCAATCCATTGTACAGGCACAGCATGCCTATCATCATGGACTCACTGGTGCCGAACCAAAGGAAGAAACAGCTGATCCCCGAAAGCACCATAGAGCCACCTGTCAACAAGGCACACGAAAGGCTGGAATGTTTCCTGTCATCTTAGTACAGCAAGGATGCTTGGGTCTTTGAGATCTCTCAGTAAAACTGAATTCTAAGGGGAAGCTGCAGACTGGGTTCCACAAAGCTCAAGTACAGGTGTGCTCACCTGAATGAAAGCTTTGTCTCTCTAACTGCCTTCTGAGCAGAGTGTGTATGAAATGCACATCATCCACTACTCAGCTACTTAAGTGGAAAAATACACATTAGTTACACATAATTAGTTTTTCAGTCTGTTAACTCATGGAAACTGCTGAAATGAAATGTAATTAGACATAATTTTCACTACAATTTAGTCCTAATGAAATGTCAAAGGGATTTCTCCTCATGGGAGGCAAATTCCTAAGGGGCAGGGGGTACTGTGGGAAACAGGCTCCCTGGAGATTGCAAGGGCAGCTCTTTTATTTTACATGAAATGGAGCACACACCTAGCATCGTTAAGCGCCCGATTCTGTCCATCAGGAGAGCAGATACGATGTTCCCTGGCAACACCGCCAGTGTTCCCAGGAAGTTGACAAAATAAATCCAGTAGGCACTATAGTCATCATCAAAGGTAATCTGGCATCCTGTCTTGTTGTGAAAAAACGAGCAGTTTTGAAATTCGCTGTCAATGAATTTATATGGCTCAAAATCTGTAGAAACAAAAACAAAGACAGCTCATCAAACTCTTAACAGATATGCAGCAGTATATGAAAGCCTATCGGGAATTCAGAAAAGTGTCACGGTGCTGTAAATTCCTGAGGGCCTCAGGGCCTGGGCTGGCTTGACTTCCTGCGTCTTCTCTTGGCCAGGGGAGGTTTAATCTGGGACCTCACATTACAAAGTAGCTGAATAAAGGATACCTTTGAAGAATAAAGGAATAAATTAAGTTAAAGACTCCAGTTATCTCCTGATTTCCTATGGTTGGCCATTGCTAATTATATTATTTGCTTACTCTTCTACAGTAGTACTTTGTCTTAATTATATGTTACATAAAGACTATCATTATAGTACTAATAGCTTCCACAATGAAATTATAAAAACAATTTGTTTCAAAATGTGCGTGAATTGGCCTTATCCTTGCCATTTTATGGAACTCTGAGGCACAGGGAAGGAACAGGTCTTTCCTTGGGTCCTTGGGGATGAATTTATAATTTAAGGCCCATGTGAATGAATCCACTGAGCAATGAGAGTCAGCTTCATCTGAAGGTCACTAGCATTCACTGCTGACCTTTTTTTGAACTTGGATTTATCCAGGAAGGGTTGCAGGTGGTGGTGGGTTCTGCTAAAAGGCTGTGAGAATCAAAACTGTTTTCCTTGCTGATCGAGCTCTGCCAAAAAAGCTGGTCTTTGGAGGTTGAATGGATTAGAAAACCGTGATAGATCACATTGTTTAAAAAACAAAAAACAAAGACACCCAACCCCATTCTCTTTTGGATCTTGGCAGAGCTGGCTCCTGCCTGCACCAAGAAGGCAGGGCTGACAACAGGATAGACGCTGATGCAGGACAGATAGATCAATGTGTGGGGGTGGGAAAGCATGGGCTTTGAAATCAGGTGGGGCTCAAACATCAGCTGTTACTAGTTCTATGAGTGTGGCCAAATTACTTAATTTTTCTAAACCTCAACTATTGTGAAAACTAAATGAGATAACAAATGTCTAATGACCTGGAGTAGGAAACAGTATTTAGTAGGTGCTCAATCAATGTTTATTTCACTTCCTTTTTTTCCTGGGGAGTTTTCCAGACTTCATGATATGAATTGAGCTCAAAAATATGCCTGATTGGGCATAGTCACATGTTGTCCATCTCTGTTGACTGTAGAGTCAAGGCATGCTCACTTTAAGCAAACACCAGATTTCGAAACAAGGATTATCAAAACAAACTACAGGTTAATTCTTTGCTTTAAAAATGATTCACCAAAGGATTGATTCTGTTTCATTTTGTTCTGTTTGCCAACTTTGAACTTTGTCGGGAACCCCATTTGCGTTAAACCTGACAAAGACAGACAGTACAAGCTTACCTTTACTCCAACCTTGTTTCATTTTGTTCTGTTTGCCAACTTTGAACTTTGTCAGGAACCCCATTTGCGTTAAACCTGACAAAGACAGACAGTACAAGCTTACCTTTACTCCAACCTGATTTAGGGAACTTGGTCATTTACACTTTAATCTCCACTTCCTATGTAAGCCTCTGCCCACACTATCACATGGTTATCACATTTCTGTCAAGAGCTGTGCCCTTTGAAGAGGCCCCAGGTAAAGGCAGTGCTACGTAGTGCACCTACCTGTGTTGTCAAAAACAGTATCAATAAATGTGCAGTTCTTGAAGTAGGTGTTGACTGAAGTCACATCCTCAAAGGTGCAGGACTTAAAAACCGAATCTTTGAAAGTTACAGATTTGAACTTGACCCCTAGGAATCTGCCCAACACACACAAAAAATTCATATCAATGACTTGTATCCATCAGAGTTCAAAGCTAAGTTAAACAGGTTTAGATTTGCAGTACCTCACTATAAACTATTTAAATTATAAAGGACATAGGTTTCTGGATTTTCTAAGCTCTTTCCTTTTCCTGTCTTTCTTCATCCATCCTGTCCTGTGGCTATCTCATTGCTCACCAATATTATTTTACACCAAAAGAAGAGAGAACACTCAAGATAACTTCACTCAGCTTTTTGCAATGTTAGTAAATGTTTTTCTGGTGTATGCAATTGAAGATAGAGAGTTTGGGGATACCTGTGAATATCCACTATTTTTCAACACTATTTTTTTCATGCATGGCTTTATTTGAAAATTCTCTATTTGGGGTTAATGGCTCTAACTTGATGTGCTCCCACTCACACACTTTTAATGAAAGTCTGTTTCCTAAGCTGAAAACCCAAGGCTTCTTCATTCTACTGTAGGGACTTCCAATTATCCTGAAGAGACAGCATGAGAATTCTGCTTCATGTATGTGAGAAATGACTGGCTTGGGGGTCAATAAACTCACAGCCACACTCATTTCCAGTAGTATTTTTCTTCTCTCAGCCAGCAAATATTCCTTGAACGAAATAGAATGATGACAGTTCTTATTTTTGGAAACATGTAGAATGATGACATCTGCTCAGATGCATTTTTGGGTGTTGTAAAGAGGAATGTGTTCTAGGTGGTGATGATGACAATTGTCATAATAATCATAACATCTTAGAAGAGTTTATGATTCAGACCTTATCAGCATTGATAAGAACTCCCAACAGACACAGATAAATATTTGTCAACGTGTCTTGGTACTTTGTTAAGAGACTACGAATTTATACATAGCTAATTACTAAGAGGAAAATGCAATGCGCTAAAGCAGGATAAATGAGGGCACATTTTAACAAGATTGTCAATTTTCTAAAATGGAACTGAATTTGGAAAGGAGAAGCAATTTTAGTTTATGAATGGATAATACACACACAGAGTATATGGTACAAAATTCGAAAGGCTGAAATAGGAAAAGGTACATGTTTTCCCACTCATCCCCAAGCCATCCAGTTGCTCTGCCCAGAGATTGCTGTCCGTCTCTCGTGTGCTCTTCTGGAGCATTCTGTATATAGAGTCCTAGCTACACATTGCTCCGTCTTATATTCTACTTTGGATGTTATTCCCTATCAGTACATAAAGAGTTGCCATTTAACAATGTTGAATAGGGAAGCTATTTTTAATAAATGAGTGAGCCAGCAGTATTTCAAATTTTCCTGAAAGCCAAAAAATTTCTTTTCTATCATCTTCTAAAATAAATGTATAATGTATATATTTTCCAAGAATTTTAATACTGTTAAAATTATTAATTATTATCTTGCTAATGTAAAAAATTGTAAGTGATGACTGAATGTCCAGTTTAGAGCTTTAATAAATATTGCTAAAAACATAACTGTCAGAGACATAAACATATACTAGAAATTTCTAATGGAGTAACAATACTTTTTAAAATAACAAGCAAAGTAAATTTTTGTAATACTTTTTAAAATAAAATAAATTTTCAGAGCATTTGATGCTAGTTTCTGTGAAATACAAGTGCAGATTGAAGTCAGTATTGTATGCGGGAGAGTGAAGGTGATCCTATATAGGCTGGATTATGATTAGGCCCCTCTTTGAAGTGCTAATTCGAACAGTTACCTACGAGTTGATAGCTCTCCTTTCCATTACACAGATCATAAGGATCCCACAGAATTCTTTTTCATCTTTCTAACTGGTTTTTGCCCCAGGAAACTGGTTATTTGAGATTTTAATTTTTGTTACTTTTGAAATGGGGACAATTTCCTAAGAATGGTGTAAGCTATCATGAACTCACACCAGCAATTATTTGCTCAGACAACAAATAAATGGATACAAACAAGCAGCTAGTCCATCCTTTTCCCTCTCTGAGAGAATGAACCAGAACCTCCTTCCTGAGCTAGTTCTATCTCCTCATCAAGAGACATTCCAGATCCCCCACTCAAAAGTATCCTTTGCTAACACTTTCCATATTTTCAAAGCCCTTAATTTTGAGGAATCATTACTGTTCTTTAATTGAAACTCTTTATGATACAATTTAACTTTAATTCTGATTCAGCATAGTGGAGAAGAAAGGAATCCTGAAAAGTGGTCCCCTTTCTCAGGAATACAAGATTCATCAAATTACATTTCAGATTTCTTCTCTGAATTAAATAACTACAGCCTATCTTATTTTCTCATATTCTTTACTTTTCTCTTCCTTATATTCATGGCTCTCTTAAAGGGCTTCTCTAAATTTTCTTTTCACACTGGTCAATTCCACTACTTAATAAATGTGAAGCAACTCAGTTTTGGAAGTTGTTTTAAGTGAAGTAACTGATTTCCTTGTACCTTTTCTTTAAACAAAATAAAACAAAACAACACAAACAAAAAAAACCCCTATGCATGTTTCAGTGCAGTGAAGGCTAATAAGAAGTAAGTTTTTGTGAATAGGTAGCAAATTAAGTTATTTCGAAGTTTCTAGACCTGCCATTGTCGTATTCCATTCCAGTATGAATCTGATTTTCCATTGTAAAGTTAATACTGAAATTTGCATATTTATCTCTCTGCACATTTTTAGTTAGTGATGCATATTCATCCGATTGCAGATGTTTAATGACATCAGGGAACCAAACAGATAATCCATAGTACCTGCAAAGACAAAGAAATGTGAGTTTGTAAATGCACCAGCCCTGACATTTTCAGAGTGGTGGTGATTCCCAGAGAAGCACTTTCAATTATGACTGGCTTCGTATAACATTATGAATAAATCTCCACAGAGTAATCTGCATGTCTTCCTACCCTACAATTAATCTACAAAAATCAGGCTACAGAGATGCCCTGGGGTTAGCTGGAGAACCCCAGTTTTGTAATTCCTGAAACCTTCCTTTGGGAGGAGACATACAGAAAGAACCCCATCCTATACCCATACATGATGCTATGGTCTGAATGTGTCACCCCAAAATTCACGTGTTGGAACCCCCAAAGTGATATTATTAAGACGTAATTAAGTCATGGGGTGGAGCCCTCAAGAATGGGATTACTGCCCTTATAAAAGAGGTATGAGGAAGCTGCCCCCCTCCCTTTTGGCCTCCTATCCCTTCTGCCATGTGAAGACACAGGGTTCCTTCCCTCCAGAGGACACAGCAGCAAGGCACCATCTTGGAAGCAGAGGCCCTCACGAGACAGTGAACCTGCCAGCAATTTTATCTTGGACTTCCAGCCTCTGAAACCGTTAGAAGTAAATTTCTATTCTTTGTAAATTACCTGGTTTGTGGCATTTTGTTATAGCAGCACAAATGCACTAAGACACATGGAACCTGGTGCTGATGTCTTTCTCATCATCCCAGGCTGCACTGAGAGACTCCATCTCCTAGTCTGGTGGCACAAACTCTTGGATCCAAGATCTGTGAGAGCCCTTAAAGAACGACCTCTTTTACTAATGGTTCCTACACTGCTGTGATCCTGCTAGCCTGGGGGTAAAGCTCCATTTCCCATGGTTGTTCAAGGTTGTGAAAGGGGGTATTCAGGTTATTATCTAAAAATTCAGGTTATATTCACTTTCTGCCTCTTGACCTCTCGTGTTATTCTAACAGCTGCATCACGCTGCTATGCTGGCCAGTACAGTAGCTACTAACTGATGGATCTCAGACGTGACTGGCATCATTGTGCACAGAATAAGCACAAAATAGCGGCCGGCCTTGTCTCCCACTCCAGCACCAAACCCCTCCCTTTACTAGAAGCCTCATGACTTAAACAGAAACCCTTTTGCTTCTGCAAGGGTACAGTTCCACCCTGGTCACATAGTTTCCACATTAGCATAATGCCCCTCCTTGATGGTAACAGCCAACCCTTGGTGCCCTATATAAGCTCTACCACCCCCACACATGGTGCTGTCCTCCACTTTGAGGGCAGCCATGGGCTGCCGTCACTTTGGGTGCAGCCTAGCAGGTTCTTTTCCTTTAATAAAGCTTGATCAGTACCCAGCGTCTCGGCTCACTTTCTTTCACTAACTACATGCTACTAAGCGGTTGAAATGTGGCTAGTCCAAAATGGGATATGCTGTAAACACAAAATGCCACAAGATTTTGAAGACTTTTTAAAAAATTGAAAATCAGTCATTAATAATTTTTACATTGATTATATGTTGAAATGATTCTATTTTGGACATAATGAATTGAATAAAATACAGCATTAAAATTAATTTTACCTGTTTCCTGTTTCCTTTTACTATTTTTGGGTGTGTGTCTACCAGAAAACTTAAAATAACATATGTAGTTTACATTATATTTCTATTGGACAGTGCTACTCTAAAGAAACATCCCCAAGTGGAGTTCCCAGACCAGCAGCATCAGCATCACCCATGAACTTGTTAGAAATGCAAACTCAAGCCCATCCTGACCTGGCAAACCAAAAACTCTGTGGGTGGAGTCCTCCAGTGATTCCCCTGATGAACACTGAAGTTTGAGAACCACTGCTCTAGCTTATCCCCAGTGACACTTAGCTACATAGGGAAAGAAGTGGGTGTTAGCGCAGCCTTGGCAGGCAAGCAGGCTGGGATCCATTCCCAGCCTTGCTACTTGCCAGCTGCATGAACTTGGGCCAGTTATCAAGCCTCAGTTACCCCATCTCTAATATGGGAATGATGGTAGTATCCACCTTCCTGGTGGGCTGCAAAGTACCTAGCAGCACATAGAGAGTACTCAAAAGACAGCACGACTGGTTTCTGTCATCAGGATTCCTGAAACATCTCTGCCTCAGGTTGCCATAGATTCCAACCCCTTCTCTTACTAGATCATGAGTTAATTACTGCAGGGGTGTGAGGGTGGTCACTGCATAAGAAATGACTCAGGGATGCACATCTATGGCATTGCCCTCTAGTCACATAAACGGGGAAAAAACTTGAAAATGGTAGCAAAGAAGGAAAGCACATTACTCTGGAACATCCAGTCCATCATCAAAGATGTGGAGGAGTCTCAGCTAATTTTTCATTTATTTATCAAACATTTATTGAATGCTAGGTATTGTTGAGGTTCTGGGATATCACAGCAAGGAAATCAGAAAGCTTAAAATCTGGTCAATAATGAATAAGTAATCAAAATAAAAAAGCCAGATAATGATTACCATGTAACTCTTCACACCTTGAGAGTAGGACTTCTCTCTTGCTTATCTTTGTCTTTGTATCTAACCAAGTGCTTAGCACACAGTGGGCCCCTAATATATGTTAATTTTCAGCCCTCTCTTCCTTCAGAGATTAATGAATTTTCTAGAACTTGGGTGGGGAATTACTTTACATATTCTAAACCAACCCTCTTAATTTAGAAATGAGGAAGGGAAACTACGTAATGTCTTCAAATCACACGGCTAACCAAGTCACACAGCAGAATGAGCTGCCAGGTCTCCTGACCCCAGCTTCCTCCTCTCCCTATATTACCTTTCACGGAGACTGGGAATGAACAGTCATCACTTGCCTGTTTAAATGTGGGGCTGGTAAGAGATGGGATTTGTAGCATAAACATTGATCTTTACCAGGCAACAAGATCTTATTGAACTGAAAGTGTAGGGTATTATCTAATTGCCTTTTTCTAAACAGTAAATCAGGTTATAGAGTTGTATGCACACATTCTAAAGTGAGTATGTCTACAATTAGAAAATAAAATTCTGAAATTTTCTCCCTATCTCCTCTTTTCTTGGAACACATATATGGCAGTTTTATTCATTTCACAACAACTATTTATTGAACTCCTATTATATGCCAGGGATATATATCAGTAAACAAGACAGTTTAAACCCTGTCTCCTCGTGGAGCATCCAGAGGGAGAAGCCAGAATTTTAGACAACTATTTATTGAACTCCTATTATATGCCAGGGATACATATCAGGAAACAAGACAGTTTAAACCCTGTCTCCTCGTGGAGCATCCAGAGGGAGAAGCCAGAATTTTATTCTTCATACAGAATAAAGAAGCCTTTTGCATATTAGAAGGTAGAAAGTGCCATGGGGGAATAATGAAGTTGGGAAGGGGACAGGGAGTGCTGAGGCATTACAATTCATTTTTAAAAAGGTATGTCACTGAGAAGGTGACATCTGGGGAAAGACTTTAAGGGGGTTGGAGAATGAGCTGGGCAGATGTCTAGGAGAAGCATTCCAGGCAGTGGCTGGTGGAGAGAGGGTAAGGTCTGGCATGTTCCAGGAGGAGCAGAGGCTGGTGTGGCTGGAGCCCAGCAAAGGAGGGCTTGATGGGGGAGAACTCACAGGGGCAAATCTTTCAGGGACTTACCAAACTTTCCAAATACAGGGAGGCTTTGCCTCCCTGGCTTTAGGACAAGATAAATAAAATAACTGGTTTATAAAAACTTTAAATGTCAGCAAATCTAACCTGAAAAAACTATTTTTCTTTCCTAGCAGGTTAACAGAATCAAATGGTATAAGAAAAGGAAGTATCATGACTGGAAGTTATAATGTGGACATTTAATGATTTTGCTCACCAAGAATTAAACATCACTTACCCAAAGGACAGGGTGAACCAAACAATTGTAAGCTTTATTGTATTTTCCCTGACTGGGTAGTTGAAACATCTCATAAATGTCAGCCAAATCTACGAAATATTAGAGAGTTAGTTTTCTCATGCGATTACTTAGTCAACCCCACTCCCCTACCCCTTCCACCAAATCATAAAAAAGCTCTGTTTTCATTGGGCTGAATTCATTTCAACTTAAAATGTAAAAGCTAAAGGTCATAAGAAACCAAATGCTGTAATTTTCATTTTTTAGCTTTCTGGAGGCCAGGGGTCAAAGTAACTCAAGACTCCAAGGGACCCCGCCCCTGCCAAGACCCGTGTCCTAACATCTTCCCTCCCAAAGATGGAATGCATTGGCTAACTGTTGGAAAAGGGGGTCTGATGATCCAGTCCTTGTGCAGGAATCAGGGGTTGGGGGTACAGGGTGAAGAGCCCCACTCATGGGACAAGCACAGTCACCCCCTTCTTCTGACCATCCTCAAATGCATCAAATTGGCATGCATGTCCCTGGAGACTTGTTACTTACTCCATACAGTTCTGTGCGGATCCGAACAAAACACCTCCTATACCATGTTCCTGTGTCACTCTCAATTTCAATCAGCTCATCGATCTGTTTAGGGGTTTTGATTTTGTTCACCTGTAGAGAGCAACAGAGTGCAAAGTGCTGAGTTCTCTTCTCTTCAGTTGCTGACCTTAGGTTTACAATTTGTTTTTAAAAGAGCAAACACTGACTCCAATAAAAAGTAAGAGGTATTTGATAATCACTCCATACATATATGAGACCACTGGTGTAAGTACACAGATTCAAACAGCAGCTGAAAGAACTGAATAAAAAATGAGAGAGAGGGAAATAGGGGGACAGCAAGTATTCACGGAATAATATGAAGCCAAAATGCCCTTCTTTGAATCATTGCCACAAAGATGCACATTAGGAGATTAAAACATGCAGATAGATTAGCTCCAGATTAAGAATCATTTTGCTTGGACTAAAGTGACTATACTATACACACTTTTCTTTGGAACCTATTTATTTGATGGATTTGGCCCCTAACTGTAGTTCTTAAAGCTTTCCCATCAGACTTTTATCCTTAGAGCAGCACTGTGGCCCTTTCTTCTTTCTCCCACAGCCTAACCCACAGTGGCTGATCAGCAGGTACACAGGTGGCTGAGATGTGAGGGTGAGTGAATGAGTTTCGATTGCAAACATCAACACTGATGTGTCAGCCACAGAAGGGAAATAAGCAATGGGGGTTCAATGTGAAAAGCTGCATCTGTGAGTAAAGTCAGCCTCCTTCTGCTAAGGAAAAGAACCACAGGTCAGGAGAGGCAATGCTTTCAATGCAGAGAATAAATCCTGAGAAGAGAAAAAAAAGAAAGAACAGTTCTTTTGTGGACCTGGTCTGCCTTTTCCTGTTAATCAGAATTTACTGGTTTTTGATAAATCTGAGAGGACAAGGAAATGTCCACATGTTGCCCTTGTGAGAGACTTGAGCAGATTTTTCTGGAGATCCTGCCAACATCCAAAGTGGCAAGTCTACTGTGAGAATCTAGGTACCAAGGCTGGCTTTTGACAGAGGTGATTTGGGGACCTTCAGCATCTTTGAAATTATACCAGGTAGGCAGTAGCCTCTTTCTGGCTATTTAAATAAAGATGTCTGTGCTTAACAAAATTAACTTCTGAATTAAATATGGGATTACAAATACAGTCAGCTTGTTTTCTCTGCTCCGCCATTTTCTGCTATATGAGACCCCTGCATTGCTGTAAAGCCACCACCAAAGAAGACCCTCA